ACCTTGGGCCTCCAGCAGAGATGATTTGAAAAGCACCTACCCTGAGGTGTTAATTGTGATACCGCTATGGGCTTGAAAGATGTCTTCATCCCCATAACCACCAGACAGGTATGTCTGGAACTAGGAGAGTAGCTTCCCAGAAGTTAAGAATGTGGGAGTATTTTTTGCAATGATGACCATTGTTCCTGGGTCTGTTGCCCTCTCCTTTCCTCCTTCCTGAACCCTTCATAATGCCTGACTAGGAATGGTTGGTTCCCTTGCATCATTAACTTCTTCTGAATGCATTGTCTGTTCACCTTCTGCCTCAACTGAAGGTGGTATCCCCTGAGGGTTACACATCCCTGTGCCTTTTCAAAGAGGTTTCCTTGAGACTCATGTACCCAAGGGCCAGGTCAGGTAGGTGACTTTATTCTCCCTGTTCCCACTTCTAAATGACTCCTCCTATCCCCCTTCCCTTTGGAGTTGTACCTGCTAGACTTTTATCTTCCCATCACAACCAACACTCCCTTCATTGCCGTGTTCCACTGACCTTCTCACAACTCAGCATCGTGCAGATCTGGGCTGCTGATTCAGCTTCCTCCTCCCCATCACTACTCCAATCACTGTCCCGGTAGTTTCAGTGTCCATGTGGATAACCCAGCTTACATCCTCTTTTCTCAGACTCTCAACCTCCCAACTGTGGCAGTCCAATGTCAGTCCCAACTCCCCTAATCACATCTGGAAATTCAGTACCAGGGACACCTCCTGAAGTCTCAGTTTCAACCATCCAACCTTCTGACCAGACTTGTGACCATTTGGTTCACACAGTCAGTGACCCCCATTGCAACATGACTCATGTCAATGACATCCCCCAAACCATGAACCATACTACCTATTTCCATGATCCATTATCCACCTCTGTCTTTCACTTCCCTCCCATCATGAGATAAATTGTGTTCTCCCAAAATTCCTAAGATGAAGTCCTAATTCCCAGTTTTTCAGAATGAGACTGTGTTTGGACATGGAGTATTTACTGAGGTAATTAAGTAAAATGAAGTCATTAGGATGGGATCTAATACAACTTGACTGGTGACCTTATAAAAAGATAAAATTAGGACACAGTGTAAAGACCAAGGAAAAGACAGTCACCTGTAAGCCAAGGGGAGGGACCTCAGAAGAAACTGACTCCTCTGATACCTTGATCTCAGACCTGTAGCTTCCAAATCTGTGAGAAAATGCATTTCTGTTGGGTTAGCACTCAGCATGTGGCACTTTGTCATGGCAGCCCTAGCAGACTCAGTTTAGATTCCAACATTATATCCATTCCTTTCCCACACCTTTCCCCTTTCCCTCAGTCTTATTCATCAACCTTGGCTAAACCTGGTGACACACCTTCTCCTTGCCTGAACCCGAGGAGCTGAACATTGTGGAGGGAAACTGCAAAACAATGCTAATTACTTTTCCTAAATGTACGACCCCAAATCCTCAAATATGAGCTCAACACAGTCCATAAATATTATCAAGTTTCATGAGTAAGCTCTCTTTTCTACTTTCCAAGAGGGCCTTTCTCTTTCTTTCTCTCTCTCTCTCTCTCTCTCTCTCTCTCTCTCTCTCTCTCTCTCTCTCTCTCTCTCTCTCCCCTCACCTGAGATATTTTTTCATTGATTTTTAGAGAGAATGGAAGGGAGGGTAAGAGATAGAGAGACATCGATGTGGGAGAGACACATTGATTGGTTGTCTCTCACATGCGCCTTGATTAGGACCATGAATCAAGCCTGCAGCTGAGATTCATGATCTTGACCCAAATCAAACCTAGGACCCTTCAGTCCATGGCTAATGTTCCATCCACTGAGCCAAGCTGGTTAGAACTCATGCATTCTCTTTTGTCTTCAGAATATCATCCTCTCTCCCTCAGCTCATAGCCATGCCCTGGTAATCTGAGACCAGTAGTCACTAGTTAGAAACCTCCTCATAGTTCCACTACCACAGCACAGTCTTATGGACTTCTGGTCTTCATTTTCCTGGCACCAACCAAAGGCCTCTATTATCTAGGTTCCATTTCCTTCTTTCTTTGCAATAACTTTACCCCTTTATTTATCTTCTCTCTCCTCATTAACAATTCTCCTATAGGATTATGTCCATGTATTTGTCTACATACTACCATGCCCTTAAGTTTACTAATAAAAACACTTCCCTTGATCCCAACCCTCTTCCAGCGATTCCCACATTTTTCTGCTCCTTTTAATCCCATAATGTCCGAAAAGAGTCCTCCACACTTACTAATTCTACTCATTGACTTCAAACACAATTTCCTCCTGCTGTTGGATCGCTTCTATCAGTATATGACCATTCATTCTTCCCACTACTCCAGTCTGGCCTTTGTGAAGGTCACTGGTGACGCTTCCTTGAGCTCTCTGCAGCATTCGGTGTGGCTGGCCACTTCTTCCTTCCATCTTGGATCTTTGTGACTCATCTGGTTTTCTCTTGATTTCAGGGCTGCTTTCTCAATGCCCTCAGCATCTTTCTCTATCTGACCTCTGAGGCCCCATTCTTCTGCTTCTAGATGATCTCACTCAGGTCCATGACTAAATATCACTTACGTGCTGATGGCTCTCAAATTTATATCTCCGTGTTGACCTCTCTCTTGAGTTCCAGACACATAGATCTAATTTGATGTCTCCACTTAGATGACTCAAGGCATCTCAGACCTGACATACTTGGAAAGGACTTCTCCATTTCATAGCCACTGTCTCAACCTGATTCCCATCTCAGCGAATAGAACCACCATCTATTCAGTTGCTTAAATAAAAGATCTGGAAACACTTTTCATTTCTTTTATCCTTCTTCTATGTTGAAACATATCTAGACCCACCACTGTCTTTCCATCCTCCCTCTTAATCCTACCCAAGCTGTCATAATATTTTACTTTTATACCGAAACTGTTTTCTAAATGGTATTCCTTTTTGCCTTCTGTGGAAAAGAGCTGCTCCAGAGAAGAAATGGTTTCCTGCCACACAGATGACACAGTCCGTGCTAACTGGATTAATTGAATTTCCAAAGGCAAGGCGTGTGCACCCCCTCCTTGCTGTCACGCTTCCCCCAGAAACAGTACTTCCATTCAGAAAACCAGATCAAGTGCCATTAACAAATTAATTCCGATTAGGGCAGCCCAAGCACTGAGACCTCCAGGCAATCCCTGGCAGTCCTGCAGGGAGATGGCTTGGCCTGGCCTGCTAATAAAGTGGAAACCGTACTGGAAGCAAAAGTGATTATTTTGATTCCTGTCACTGTCCCCGGAGGGGAGAAGAGTGGGATTTGATTAGACCATGGTCTACTGAGGGAATGAACTCACTTTCAAATGATGTTATTAATTCTCACATTTGGAGGCTCAGTTCATGAGAACAGGCTCAGCTCTCAAACTTCCCTGTGGCCTGTGCAACCCTGATTTAGAACCAAGAATTCACAGATGCCCAATAATTGAATAAAAGAATAGTTCATTGGTAAGCAGGAAATAAGTCTGGGCCCCAGTTTTCTTAAGAATCCTTCATTCTTTTATTTAACAAATACAACTGGGCCCCTATTGTAATTGGCAGAGCAGGTTCAAAGTTGTCTTGGACCTTATTGACTGGGGGAGGGCAGCAGATAATCATCAGGAATCAAGCAAATGGAAAAGTCTGGGTAGTAAAAAAAAAAAAAAAAAATGCAATTAAGAGGAGAAAACAGGGCCAATGGACAGAATATGATTGGGGATAAATGCTCAAGGAAGACCTGAGGTGTTGAAGCTGAGCTTTGCTCTGGACAGTGCAAAGAGCTAGACAGTCCGGTGGACGAACATTCTAGGGAGGGAACCAGAAAATGCAGTGCCTATTGCCAGAGAACCAGGCCCGCTCCCTCTTCACTCTACCAGTACCGTCAGCATGGCCACTTTGCCAGCCCTCTGCTCTCCTCATGGTACTGGGCAGAGCAGATGTCCCTGATAGGTAGTCCACTTTACCCACCCCTAGTCTGCCAGCCTGTATGCCACCCATCCCTCCTGCAGCTCTCACTCTTCTCACAGAGATTTGCACAATTTCCACCTCTTCCAACAAAGTCTTTTGAAAGCTTCCCAATTAGAAGGGCTCCCTTCCTGCTCTGAAGTCCTAACTCACTTATTGGACACTGCTGTCTCTGCTACCTTACATGGGTAGATATCGCATTACTGTGTATTTGAACCTGCTTCCCCATGCCCTCAATTCCCTGCTCTTTACTAGTGGGCTGGAGAGTACTTCATCCTCTCTATCTCTTACACGCCGCAGGCCTACCACAATCCTCAGCTTGCAGACACTTGGGGAGTTTAGATAGACACCTGGCCAAATGAAAACCTGAGGGGCAGATGAAAGCTTATGGAAGTCTGACCTCTCATCCAGGAGTCTCTAACATGAGCAAGAAAAGGCTCTCCCAGTTCCTGGGAACAGAGCTGGCTTTGGACTTAAAATGTAGTTTCCAGAAGGATGATTTTAAAATGTTAAGACTATAACTGGATTTCTTATAGGGGTGCTCGGAAACTCTCAGCTTAATAATGAAAAGTTTAGAACCAAAAATTCATATAAAGAAGGCAGCCAACCACCCTCCCAGAGGTGGGCTCCATCCCAAATCCTCATCTGATGGCTCTCCCAGCAACTCAGACCTCTCAAATGAGAACCACCCCTTCCAACAAGTAAAACATAACTGCTTCATTGCTGCCAGCCTTCCTCCAGCTCAAAAACTTCCTGCCCCAGGAACATCCCAGGATTCCAGGGCTAGCCAGTGTCACCCAGAGCTGGAGCATGGTCAGATGAAATAAGAGGGTACCAAAGGTGCCTTCAGCATCAAGCAACCTCAGCTGACAGCAAGACTTGCCACCGGGTCCTGAGTTGGAGGGAGGCCTCAGCTCCAGTGCGATGGCAGATGAGGATGAGGCATGGTTCCCGACACTGGAGGTGGGAAAGCCAATGGAGTGAGGATGAGATGGGCGTGGAGATGTGCTGGACACTGCGGCTGACCTTTCACGAGGACTGTCCTGGCCTCAGCCCACTGGCTCCTCCCGTCTGATGTCAGCAGGCCGATTGGAGGCAAGCGTTCGTCCTCGTTGGAAGCCATTTTGACTATCTTTCTCAACTGAGTGAACAGATCCCCCTCACTGAGACGGCGGAAATTAATGACAACATCCAAGACAAAGAACTGTGGGGAAACAGGTCAAACACATCACTCACGGCAGCCAGGCCAGGTGCCAGGCCTTCGCTGAACCTACAGATCTGAGAATGGCCAGAGATGTTGAGGCCCAAGGTTCCCATGTAGTCATGGCTCCGAGTAGTCACAATTTGGGGACCACCTCAACTTTGTTAACTGTGCTGGACGCCAAGCTGCTTCAATTCAAAGAAGTTCACATTAAACTTAGCAAAATGAACCCTTGCTGTTGTGGTTCTTAGTTCTTATAAAAGCATTACAGTTATGGGGACTTGAGTATAAATTGGCACAACCATTGTTGGGGGACAGTGTCTATTAAAACTAAAAATGTGCATACAGCAATTGTGCTTATAAATATACATTTTAGCCTAAACCTTAGAGAAACATATACCCTTGTGCCCTACTCTCCCATGCCCTTTCTTCCCCTGTTCTTATCAAGTATATGGGAACGTACATATGAGCAGTTTGCAGCAACAAAATGATAAAGAGAACTTAAATGTCTCCTGTAGGAGAATGCTAAGTAAAATGTATGTACTTGTCCAGTGTATGCCTACCCAGCAGTAAAAAAAAACAGACGAAATAGTTTCATATTCAGCTATAGGGATAGATCTCAAACACACTATAGTGAGTGCAGATAAAAAGGCAAGGAGGTCCCAACAATCTGCAAAGCTGTCTGTCCGTGTATAGTTTCTGGGAAGGTCATGGCCTTGGTCACTGCATGTGGAGGGTCTGGGGCCTTGCAGGGTCTCATTAATGACCCTGAGTCCATTATCCAGGCAACTCTTTGACCTGACCTGGAGGGTCAGGCTGGAATGGGAGCCCACTGAAGGTGTTCTTAATCAATGACTCTCCTCATTCTGAAAATCCAACCAATGGCGAGAAATGGAACTGACAGGGAGTGTGGAGATCCCACTTTGGGGCCACTCTGCTCCAGTTCACTGTGTGGCTCTGGGAGGGGATGAGCACCCTTGGAAAAGCAGGAATGCCTGAGCACACATGTGTCCTCCCCGGGCCCTAAGGCTGCCGCAGTGGGGGCCGCTTACCTGGTTGCAGCAGGCCACAATGATGTGCTCCGGCTCAGGCATGACACTACTCTTCTGGGCCACCAGTGTGTCCTGGACGTGGCCAGGGAGGCGATAGGAAGAGAAGAGGCCGTAGTATTGCTTCATACAGAGCTGCTGCCCAGACAGCTGGCCCTTGGCACAATCAGTGGGGATGGAGTGACTGGAGGGGGAGAGTGGGGAGCAAGGCAGGAAGTCAGAATTGGTTCTACTGCAACTTGATTAGGCAAAGTGAGGCACAGAAATGAGAACTGCACTATGATGGCAGTCAAAGAGCTTAAACCTCCACTTTTTAAAGTAGTGGAATGCCCATTTCCATGGCCAAGAAGATCCTAGGGGATTTCCTGCACCTTCATTAGTCTCCCTCATTCCTGCCTCATGCACTTCAGAGCAGATCTTAACCAATCAGCCCCCTTTGCCTTTCTTATGCTAATCTTTGCTTAGATGCCTTCACCCCCACCTTGTGCTCAGCTAATTTGTTTAGAAAACCCCTTCTAGTCCATCATCTCTTCTAGAAGCCTCCTCTGAGTTCAAGGCAGAATATTCTCTTTTCCCTGTGGTCTTAGCATGTCTTATGTCTTTCCTCCCTCCTTTTCCCTCTTCCTCCTCCTCCTCTCTTCCTCCATGTTTCTCTCCCCTTCTTTCCCTCTAACCTTTCAGACAACAAATGTTACCCAGCACTCCTTTGTGTTAGGCACCATTCTGGGATCTGGAAAGATATAGTTGCAAACAAGAGATGAGTTTCCTGTTCTAATGGGGTGCAGGTCCTGGAATACGTCAGTGGGCACAGATAACAAGCAGCAAACTGGTAAATGGGAGGGTTTCGGGTAGTGAGCTAGGGTGACAAGGTGGCCAGGGACAGTCTTGCTGATGACTGGATATGTGAGCTGAGCCCTGAGGGTAAGAGGCAGCCATGAGAAGAGCTGGGAGGCAATCAGGTGACTGGGTGGATGTCCCACCACCCTGCTGCTCCAGGCGTGAGTATTGAACGGAACTGTAAAGACCAACCTACACAAGGGGATCTTATAGGAACATTTGTAGCAGGAATCTTATGTCTTTGCATCCAATAATAAAAGTGGTCTCATCACATGTTAGAACATAAAACAAGTCAATAAATTTAAGAAGATTGGTCATGTTAGACATCTTCTCTGTTCACAATGTTTTGAAATGAGAAATCAATTATAAGAAGAAAAAAACCCCTGAAAAACACACAACACGTTACTAAACAATGAATGAGTTAACAATGAGATCAAGGAAGAAATAAAAATAATGCCTTAACACAAATAAAAATGGGAACACAATACAAAATCTAAGGGACACAGCAAAAGCAAACCTACCTAAGAGGAAAAATCATAGCATTACAGGCCTATCTCAAAACAACAGGAAAAAAATCTAAAATAAACAACCAAACCTTACACCTAAAAGAATGAGGAAAAAAGCCCAAACACAGTAGAAGAAGTAAAATAATAAATATCAGAGTGGAAATATATGAAATATAACCTAAAAAATACAAAACCATTTCTGAATGCAACCATTTCTGAATATTTGTTTTCTATTATTTAACTGAATTTATTTATCAGTTAATAGTAATGTTTTGGTGGAATCTTTAAGGTTCTCAGTGAAACTGAGACCTGGTTCTTTGAAAAGATAAACAATATTGACAAACCTTTAATCAAACTCACCAAGGGAAAAAGATAGAGGGCCCATGCCAAAACCGGTTTGGCTCAGTGGATAGAGCATCGGTCTGTGGACTGAAAGGTCCCAGGTTCGATTTTGGTCAAGGGCATGTACCTTGGTTGTGGGCACATCCCCAATAGGGGGTGTGCAAGAGGCAGCTGATCGATGATTCTCTCTCATCGATGTTTCTAACTCTCTATCCCTCTCTCTTCTTCTCTGTAAAAAATCAATAATAATATAGAGGGTCCAAATAAATAAAATCAGAAATGAAAACCAACAAGTAACAACTGACAGCACAAAAATACAAAGGATGATAAGAAAACAGCATGAACAACTACTAGCATATGTCAACCAATTGGACAAAGTGGAAGAAATGGATAAATTCCCATAAACATACAGTCTTCCAAAAACGGAATCAGAAGAATCAGAAAATCTGAATAGACAATTACAACTAATAAAACTGAAGTAGGAATCACACACTTCCAACAAACCTGAGTCTTGGACCAGACAATGGCTTCACAGGTGAATTGTACCAAACACTCAAAGAAGAAACAATACCTAACCTTCTTAAATGATCCCAAGGAAATCCAGAGTAGTGAAGACTTCCAAACTCATTTTACAAGGCCAACATTCTCCTAATTCCAAAACCAGATAAGGACACTACAAAGAAAAAAAATTATAGGACAGCCCTAGTCCGTTTGGCTCAGTAGACAGAGTGTTTGGCTCAGTGAACCGAAGGGTCTTAGGTTTGATTCTGGTCAAGGGCACGTACCTCTGTTGTAGGCTCCTTGGGGTTTGTATAGGAGGCAACCAATCCATGAGTTTCTCTCACATTGATATTTTCCTCTGTCTTTTCCTCTCTCTTCCACTCTCTCTGAAAAATCAATGGAAAAATATCCGCAAGTGAGAATTAAAAAGAAAATTATAGGCCAATATCCTTAATGAACATAGATACTGAAATCCTCAACAAAATATTAGCAAACCAGATCCAGCAATACATTAAAAATATTATATACTATGATTAAGTAGGATTTATTCTAGGGATGCAAGGTTGGTACAATATATGTAAACCAATAAATGTGATATACCACATAAAGAAAATGAAGAATAAACCATATGACCATTACAATAGATGCATAAAAAATATTTAATGAAGTCCAGGACCCATTTATGATAAAAATTCTCAGGATAGTGGGAATAAAAGTATGATAATAAACAAGTAATCTTTTCTGTCAAGGAACAGTTTAGACAACCTCCATGTTTGCTCATGTTACTTAGTAGCTGCCATATTGGCCACATGACTTGCAGTTCCCTGGGGGCCGCCATCTTAAAATGACAAAGGTCAACCCCTTTCTTTGAATTAGCCAGTGGTTAAAGACTATGCGCCTGAGCTCCAATTGAGAATGAGGGGCAGGTCACGAGCATCAGAATTAAAAAGCTGAGCAGACTGCCTGCTCAGTGTGTGTGTGCTCCTAGACCATGTACTGCACACCCTCCTGCAGGAGTAAAGATGTTTGCCTTGCTGCCTGGCTCCCCAGTATGTTTTGTGTTCTACCAGGACCCCTAAATTTAGGGGCTTGCCTTATTTCTAACAGAGGGAACATATCACAACATAATAAAGGCCATATGTGACAAACCCACAGCCAATAATCATATACTCAGCAGGCAAAAATTATAAGTATTTAGCTTAAATTTGAGATCAAGACAAGGATGTCTGCTTTCACCATTCTTATTCAGCATAGTATTGGAAGTCCTAGTCATAGCAATCAGACAAGAAAAAATAAATAAAAGGCATCCAAATTAGAAAGGAAGAAGTAAAACTGTCATTATTTGCAGATGATATAATACTGTATATAGAAAACCCTAAAGACTCCACCAAAAACTACTAAAACTAACATATAAATTCAGTAAAGAAGCAGGATACAAAATAAATATTCAAAAATTGGTTGCATTTTTAAATATTAAAAATGAACTATCAGAAAGGAAAACTAAAAAAACAATCCCACTTACAATAATATAAAATAAAAAAAATATGTAGGAATAAATTTAGCCAAGGAAGTAAATTTGTACTTGGAAAATTATGAAACACTGAAGAGAAAATAAAAATAAAACCAAGCATACACCATGCTCATGAATTAAAAAAATAACATTGTAAAAATGTCTGTACTACCCAAAGCAATCCATAGATTCAACACAATTCATATTAAAATAGCAATGGTGTATTTCACAGAACTAGAACAAATAACCCTAAAATTTATATAGAATCACAAAAGACCCCACATAGGCACAGCAATCTTGAGAAAGAAGAACAAAGTTGGAGGAATCATTCTACCTCATAACAAACTATACTACAATGCCGTAGTAATCAAAATAGCATGGTATTGGCATAAAAACAGACATATAGATCAATGGAACAGAATAAAGATCTCAAAAATAAACTCATGCCCATATGGTCAATTAATACATGACAAAGGAGGAAAGAATATATAATGGGTTAAAGACAGTCTATTAAATAAATAATGTTGAAAAAATTGAACAAGATATATACAAAAAATGAAACTAGATGACTTTCTTACACCATATACAGTAATAAACTCAAAATGGAATACACTTAAGTATAAGGCTTGAAACCATTAAAATCCTAGAACAAAAGTTAGGTAGTAAAATCTTGGGTATTTCTTGTAGCAATATTTTTTTCATATATATCTCCTTGAGCAAGGGAAACAAAAGAAAAAATAAATAAATTAAACTATCTCAAACTAAAAAGTTTTTGCACAGCAAAGGAAGCCATCAACAAAATGAAAAAGACAACCCACTGAATGGAGAACATATTTGCCAACAATACATCTGATAAGGGGTTAATATCCAAAATGTTAAAGAGCATATACAATTCAACACCAAAACAATTTTAAATATTGGTGAAGGACCTAAATACTAATAGATACTTCTCCAAAGAGGACATACAGCTGGCCTATAGACACATGAAGCTTAACATCACTAATCATCAGAGAAATATAAATTAAAACCACAGTGAAATATCACTTCACAGCTGTCAGAAAGGTTATCATCATTAAATCAACAACAAAAAAGTATTGATGAGATTGTGTAGAAAAGGGAAACTTTTTCCACTGTTGATGGAATTTAAAATTGGTACAGCCATTATAAAAAAAAATACGGACGTTCCTTGAAAAATTAAAAACTTAACTGCCTTATGACCTCATCATTCTACTTCTGGGAATATATCTGAAGAAATTCAAAACACTAATTCAAATGAACATATGCACCCTCATGTTCATTGAAGCATATGTATAATTGCCAAGATATGGAAGCAACCCAAGTGCCCATCAATAGACAAATGGATTAAAAAGTGCTGGTACATATACACAATGGGATTTTACTCTACCATGAAGAAGAATGCAATCTTACCATTTGCTACAGCATGGTTGGACCTAGAGAGTGTTATGCTAAGTGAAATAAGTCAATCAGAGAAAAACAGAGTAATATTATTTCAGGTATACGTGGAATCTAAAGAGCAGTAGAAATGAATAAAAAAACAGAAACAGACCCATAGATGCAGACAGTAGACTGATAGTTGTCAAAGGAGAGGGGTGTGCTGGGGAACTGAGTGAAAGGGTGAAGGGATCGAAAAGTACAGACTGGTAGATCAAAACAGTCACAGGGATATATTATAATAACTATATATGGAGCCAGTTGGCTACTAGAAATATCAAGAGGAACACTTTGTAAAGTATACGATTGTCTATAAACACTCATCTTTACACTTGAAGCTAGTACAAAATAATATTGAATGTAAACTGTAATTTAAAAATAAAATAAGACATTAACTAACAAAAAGTGATCTCATACTTGGCACCATTTTTTACTAATTAATTTTTGTAATGTTTTACAAACATTTCATATTTACAAACACCACTGATTGATTGAGGCAGAAAGGAAAGTGGAGTTGAAGCCAAGTAAACAGGCTTGGGCTGAGGAGAACCGCACCTCAAGTAGCAGGTGGCAGGGTTGACTCACCTGTCCTGCTCCTACAACTCTCCCTTCTCCCCCCTCTCCTGTGTGAGCTCCAGATTCCTGGTACACATGCTCGTGTGTACATATAAGGTATGGAGGAAGGGGGCATTTTAAAGGGATCCAGGCAGGATAGTGCTTACACCAGGAAAAGGAACTATTGGTGGTTGGGGCAGCTGGGTAAAGGTCATTCTGATGCTGGGGTGGGTGTGGTACCACCTACTCTTGACAGGAACACAGAGCTGAAAAATGTCAAGGTCACTGCCCTCGGAGCTCCTTGTGTATTGTGGCCGGGAGAGAGGAGAATCCGGAGGCACTGCCTCTCGCAGGCGGCGCCCAGTCCTACCTGTCCAGCATGGCCTTGTAGCTGAGCACTCCCGAGATGAGGTTGGCGGCAAACCTGCAGAGAGATGAAGCCTTGGCCTCTCCTCTCCGGGGCCCAGCCTCCCACTCTCCCTTGCTCCTTCTTTCTTTCTCCCCACATCCTTTCTTTCCCCCTCCCTCTTTCTATCTCTCCCCAAACTCAATGACCCCCGCCCCCCAGATGCCAGGTCTGAGAGCTGCCCTAAGAAGATGGGCTACCTGCTGCCCCGCCCCACCGCTATGCTGTCAGCACTTCACAGGCTTTGGGTTAAAAACGGTGCCCTGGAGAGAACTTCGGGGAGGAGAGGAAACCAGAAAGTGAATGAGGAGGCGAAGGAGGAGGGAGAGAAAGCCAGGAGAGGCCACAGAGCCTCCGGAAAGGGCTGGAAGAGCAGGGGATCTGCCCAGGAAAGGCTCGTGCTGGGCTGGCCTGGGCGAGCACCCTGGGTTTTGGGCAATTCTGTCTCCTGGGGAAAGTCAGTCATTTGGTCCCCTCAGTGCTAATGAACAGGAAGTGGGTGCTGAAGGAAAGCACACCAGAGAGCCGTGCCACGGATGGTGTCACCTTTACTGCTCATGGCTGAGGAGCCCGGCTTAATTGCATCAGGAGGAAAACGCCCGCTCCAGTGCGATTTTGAGAACTGTTCTCAGAAGTTGTTCATCCATTCACTCACTTCCTTTTGCCAGGAGGGGTGGGAGTGGGGGCTGGCTACAGGGGAGAGGGAAGGTGCTCCCAGACCTTTGGACTGGTCTTGGTGAGGAAGGACGGACTGGGATCTCCCAACCATCGCTGAACCCCGCCTCTGGGTGACGGGCCCTGCCCTCTGTTATTTTCCTCCCCCGAACTGTCTCGCACTGTGTCCCACTCAGGTCTTAAAACCAGAGACTGGATTTGGAGCTCAGTGGCTGCTGCAGGGAGATCCTTGGTCCTGCCCCAGCCTTGCGTGAATGGTCCCTCCATCGTCATCAGCGGGCCCAGAGGCCATTGCAGCGGCTCAGTGAGCCGGGAGATTGCAGCAGATGGCACGGGCTCTGGCGAAGGCAGCTGGCGGGAGGAAACCTTTGCCAACTCCTCGGAGCCTCTGTTTGGAGCTGGGGCTGCAGGGGCCTCTCAGATCACCTGGGCAATGTGTCCCACAGACAATCCTCGAGTGCTGGCAGGATCAGAGGGGACCCACCTTCTCCCAGGGCCTCAGCCAGGTCAAGATTGCTATGAGGACACCGGGGTGCCCCGTGTCCTCCAAATAAATGCCTCGGAGGCAGACCTGGGTCTGTTCCTCAGGGGCAGCCTCACCTAACTACTTCCTTCCTGACCTCACGGCCTGGGCACACACCCCGCCCCCCCCCTCCGTGTCTCAGCACCACTTGGCCTCAGAAAGCTCCGCCCAGACTGAGCTTCAGCTTTCCTTCCTGGTGGGCGGGGGGGGGGGGGGGGGGGGGGGGGGGGGCAAGACTTCCTCAGGCAGCTCCCCCGCTGTGAGGGGGAGCAGGGGCCTCACCTGAGCTGGTCGTTGGTGTCCTGGAAGTGCTGCCGGGGAAAGATCACAGCGGGGCTGGAGTTGACAGGCAGGGCTAGGCGGTTATTGAGATACATGTCGTTCAGCCAGTACTCAGCCACCTGCGGGAGAGCAGGGGAGGGGAGCCATTACCCACAAGGGCCACACACACCCCTCCCACAAAGGCACCTTGCCTGTGGAGCACACTGATCGCATCCTGGCAGCCCTTAAGGCCAATCGGGACACTTCAATGGATCACGCACTTCATTCATTCATTCATTCATTCATTCCACAAGTATACATTGCACCTAGTTATGTGCTAGGGCCATGTTTCACAGCCCACAAGCCTGCCCTTCAGCCTTGCCCTGACCTCTCTCCTCTCTCCCCCATCCCTGTGCCCCATCTGCCCTGTCTTTGTCACCTACCTGTCTCTCACCCACATCCCTCTGTCTCCAAGTCTGCCTCCTGCCCCATGGGTCCCTTGCCTGCCCCCGCCCCTAGTCAGCCCTCTCCCAGCGATGCTTACCCAGTTGGCAGTCTTCTCTTGCCTCTCCAGGAGCTTCTGCTGCAGGGTCTCACCCAGGCCCCCTGGGGCCCCAAACTGCTGCACGATGGCCTGGCTCCTCCGGAACTGCTCCCTGGGCACCAGGTGCTGCATGCACTGCAGGTACGTGGCCAGGGTCTGCTGCAGGGGGGGCACCGGGAGTTTGGGCAGCTCCTGGGAAAGAGGGTCACAGGTCTTACTGTGCCTGTCTGTCATGTGTGGCCCAGGCCTGTCCAAGTCTATGCCTAGGGTCTGTCTGCATCTGCTACCTACCATTCTTGCTTCCTATCCTGAGACTCGTCTGTTTCCAGGGCTCTGCTCAGCTCAGCAGAACTGTGAACTTAGGAGGTTCCTGTTTTCTCTCTCCCATACCCCAGCTCTGACCCCAAAGGAAAAAAGGGCAGAGGAAAAGACCTGGATTCATCCCTGACCCTGCTGCTGACTGGCTGTTTGATCTTAAACAAATCACCTCTATCTCTGTGCCTCAGTTTTCTCCCCTGTCAGATGGCATCAATAACCTTCATCTCTTTAGGATAAGAGATCATTGATGCGAAAGGCCCATCAACTACAGTGAATAAGTCTAAGATGAAATTGTCCTGTTATTGATAGTGATTGCTAGTCATTCTTAATTTAGGAACTGTTCCCAGCTGGAGCTCCAGAATCCGATTGACTCTAATGGAGAGCTGTGGACAGGTGGAAGAGGGTGGGAGACGTCGGTCATTGCTTGTCCCAATGACCAGAATTCTGCAAGATGTTTCCTGGGAAGGTGATTCATGCTCTGGGCTCCTTATTCAATCCCTTGCAGTTATGAAACCCAGACAGGGGGTTCTGCTCCGTGTGGGTACGGGGGTGGGGTGTCCTTCCTCTCTTAATCTTTCTCAGTCTCAGATTCCTCATGGATAGGACATAAATGACAGGTCCTACCTCAGAGGGGCCCGCAGAGAATGAAATGAGAGAAGCAACTGGCTCCAAATGGGCACATCATTACATGTTACAATGTTACTGTCCTGATCCTTCCAGAGGAATCCCCAAGAGGAATCTCATAATCTCTAGGGGCCCCATACTTCCCAGTTTACCAGCTGTGTTCTTCAGGGGTCTCACAGGTTATGGTTTAGCCCCGTTGACAGATGAGGAAACTTAGGCCCAGAGAGTGGATAGTCTCAGGTCATCCAGCAATTTGGTGGCAGAGCTGAGACCTGAAATCAATCTTCATCCAGTATTCATTCTGCTCCTTCCTCAGCTGTTCTCTTCCGTCTCCCTTGCTCTCTTTTCTACCCCCTTCCTTCCTCACTTAGCTGGCCACAATTGGAAACCAGGAATTTTCATATTACCCCTTAAATTTCACAAAGTTGGCTGCCTTCTTTCAGGGGTTTCTCCTCTCTATGGTGGTGGATGCGAGGGTGGGGCAAGGGGAGTGGTGTGGTTGTCAAGGAGATGTCAAGAAGACAAGTGTGGCAAAGGGACACACACATGCGACACTGTGGGGAACAGATGTGCTCTATCACTCTAAGGTCAGTGGAATGGGAGGGAGAAGGCCTTCCTGGGAGGGAGGTTTGTCTCAGGTCAGTGGGAAAGATGGTGCCTGCAGCTCCAGGGCTGAACTAGTGACAATAGCCAGGGCTGGGATGTGGCACGGCTTACCTAAGCCAACTCTCCTGGGCTCAGAGCCATTGGAAGTGGAGCTTGGGCTCGGGGAAGTCCTGGGAGATAAAAGTATCTGGCCTAGGTCATGGGCTCTCCCTGGACTTTGGGGTTAGGGAATGTGCCTATCAGCATTCCCCTTGATGTGGGAAGTCACCCACTGCCCATACTATCATGAGAGTGAATCAAGGAACTCGGAAGGCTGGTGGACCTTGGGTCTTAGCAGGACTAGTGCCAAGCACTATTGTTCTGTTGAGATAGTGGTGGCCCAAAGCAATTTCCTGACCTAATTAGCCTCAACGTTTACTGAACCTCACCGATCTTTACTGATCTTTATTGTCCTTAGAGATGGTCTGTCTGCTACCTGTTTGCCGTCCTTTACTGAGGGCAAGATGTGCATCTAAAACTGAGTGAAAAGTGGACAAGGCCAGGTGTCAGTGTGCCTCTACAGAGAGAGGTCTCCACCTGGCCCCCATGCCTTCTACATTCATATTTCTTGTCTAATGTTTTCACTTGTGCATCAGTCCCTTCTGCAGATCCTGAACCCCTGCCACAAAAGTTGAGACACCTTAAAGCTGTTCCTAGAGCCGCCAAGCCCTCCAGGCTCCTCAACGGGCTCAGGCAGGGATGCAGCCCGGGCCTGCTGCCCAGGAGAAGGGAGAGCTGAGATTAGGAAAGTGCTGAGGGCAAATCCCATTCAGGATTATTCTGGAAGCCAAGGGCACGTGAGTGGGGAGAGTAGGGATAAGGGAGAGAGCTCCAAAAGTTACTCACGTTTTCCTCCTCACCGCTGAGAGTTTTTGCTGCCATCTTCTGGGGCACTTTTTCCAGGATGGGCATCTTGGTGACTTGTGGCTGAGGAAACAGAGTGCAGATCTGTTGAAGCAGAGAGCCATCAACACAACAGCCCCATAGACATGCCTTTCATCTCCTGCTACACCCTGTGAGGGGGCCACAGCTGGACAGTAATGTTCATGGGTCTCTTTGTTGGCCTGGCCCCAGACCAGCCGTCCTGCACAGTGTCCTCTCTGAGCCCCCAAATAAGAGAGGGCAGGGCATGAAGTGAGCCTCCAGCTGGTACCTACTCCAGCAGACTGCTGTCACCCGAGCCCACCTGATTCCCCCAGGGCAGTGTGGGAGGGAGCAGGGCTGGGCTTGCCCACTCCTCATCCAAAAGGGGTATGGACAGACCGCTTGCTTTGTTCTTGTGTGGGGCCCAATAGATGTGTGATTTGCAGATTAAAATCTCTTTCTCACTGGCTTCGAGTTTTTCCAGGGCGGCATGCTCAGTGCCTCATCGCTGGGACCTAGCACATGCATGAGCAGGATGCACGTGGGAGCTGAGTGAAAGCACTGCCTGCATGCACCAGTGATGCCTCAGTGGATGCAAAGCCCTGGCGCTGTGGGGTGGGCTGTGCCTGGGCCGCCTCTGGCCAGCAGGTTCCCAGTGCAGGTGGCATAGGAGCGCTAAGGGAGGTGGTCCAGGGAAGCTGGGCAGCCCAGTCCCCTGGGCTCCACCTAATAGTCTGGAGATTAATTTGGAAGAGGCAGCAGAAGTGAGCCAGACCAAGGGGGAGCAAAGGCCAGGTATTAAGGCTAGTAGGACCCAACCTCTACCCTCAGAGATCCCTCTAAGCTAATGTAAGCCTGTAGAGACCCCCATGCTTTCTACTCGCCCATTCCCCCCAACCCTGCTTCCCTGCACCCCGACCCTAGGTTCAGTCCATCTGGGGCTGGGCAGGGGCACAGTTGACCCAAGGACAGAGCATCCAGGGATGTCCCGACCCGCGGGACAACAACGGGGGGCACGCAGGAACCACCTAAGAGAATGAATCAAACAAGGAACGCGGAAAGAATGGAGGCAAGACAAGGTTCTGATCAAGCCTCAGTTTTATTCTCTGAAATGGCTGTATTTATACAGCAGAGACAAAGGGGGGCAGGGCCGCCCATGCAGGGGGGGTCTTTGGTATGGCAACACAGGATTGACTAATTGCCAGAGGCGGTGTGACATTCCAAGGTGCAACATTCCAAGGCTGGGCTATCTAGGGGGGAGGATCAGGAAGGGGAAGAGGCAGGAAGACAGGAGATGCTAAACCCCAGGTTAATCTTATCTTCTGGCCAAGCCCTCAGGGCACCACACAACTTCTGCTAGAAGGAACTTAATTCTATTTTCTTAAGACTGAGTTGCTTGCCTCAACTCTGCTAGCTCCCAACACAGGGAGAGGGGTGACTCTGATACAGTGATGAAGGTGCCCAGGGCCACCTGGAAGCTCCGGGCAGAGAATGGAGGGTCCCTCAGAGCACTATACCAGCGTGCTCCGGGCTCAGTGGTCCCCCGAACAGCCAGCACCATGCAGTTTAGGAGCTGCCCTGCCTACCCAGGAAGCAGCAGTATCCAGGTGAGGGTCCACCCCCCACACAGCAAGGTTTTGAGGGGGCAACAGGGGAAGGTCAGGTTGGTAAAAGCTCTAAAGACAGTGCAGCCCATGCTTCCTCTGCTCCGGCCCTGGGCCAGCGCCATAGCTGGAAGGTACCTACTAGCCAAACCTCAGAGACCCTGGTCTCAGAGCGGCTCACAGGGCAAAGCAGCATGGTTTCCTGGGGGCCACGGCGGCCCCTGCCCAGAGCCTGCTGCTCCTCCTCCTTGGCTTGGGCGTCTAGAGGGCATAGGTGTCTGTCTGGTGCCCTCCTGGCTTCCAACAGCTTCCCGCAGAGATCTGGGCCTGCCCCAGGGACCCAACCCAGCTCTGCCGGCCCCTGCGCTCCAGCGACTCCCCGCCAGCCCCCGCTTAACCCCCCAAGCCTGGCTCCCGCTAGCTACTGCCGCCCTTTCCCCACCTCCTGCCTCTTCCAGGACGGGAGAGAGGCAAGCGCTGGAGGTTCCTTCAGGATGGCAGGGTGAGACCTGCAGACCCTCCTCCTGGCACCGAAGGGGCAGCCCTTGGCTCGCAGCAGATGGGGCCCAGGAGAAGCTATGCGTGTGGAGCCGGCGCTCCGATGGCCAAGCCTCTCCAAGCCCTCGTCCCCCTACGTCTCAGCGTCCTGCTCCCCGCGCCCTGCCCCGTTCTGGTGGGTGAGCGCCCGAGCTGAAGAGCCCCCGTCTCCGGGCGGCCCCATCACCCGCTGCCGATCCGGACCTGGAGGACTCGAGGTCCCGGGCGTGTGGTCCGGCGGCTCTGGACGGAGCCCCGTCTGCGCCCCGCGCCAGCCCAGCCTCTCACCTGCTCTCAGCGGCCGCGCCTTGCCGCCCGGAGCAGCACGGGGGCCAGGAGGGGGGCTGAAGGGATCTGGGGGCGCGTCGGCAGAGCGAGGGTGAGGGCTGCTGCCTCTGTCGGCGGTGGCAGAGCCTCCGACGACGTGGTCCGGTCCCCGCGGCTCCCAACCTGCAGGCTGCCAGCGATCCGCCGCGCCTGTCCTCTTCTGTTCCTCCTCCCGCCCCTCTCTTCTTCCCCTCCCTCCCTCCCCCAGCCCCACCCTCCCTCCCTCCCTCCCTCCCTCCTCCCTCTCCGTCCTCTGTCCCCCACCTCCCACTTCCCGCAGCCTTTCCGGATCCCACCTCCCGGCTCCCCGCCCAGCCGGGACCAGTTGGTACAGGGTAGCAGAGTCCTCAGCTGCGAAGGGCGTGCAGCACACTGCCCTGCCCCACCCGTGCCCATGGCCCCCGCCCAGCCCCCACCTCCTGCCCGGCCCGCCCCCACTCCCCGATTATCCTGGCCGCCACTGCGTCTGCAAAGCCCTGGGGAGGGTGAGTCCGGGGAAATCTCCCCACGGTCTCCGCCATGCTCAAGCCCTACTATATGCAACTCCCTTCAAAATAATGATAACCGCCCCTTTGTTAATCACTGCAGCCCCCCTCCGCTGCCATACTGGGGTGGGGGAGATACAGACCTGGGGATGCCTAGAGATGGGCAGCCAGAGGCAACCGCTCCTGCAGACAAAGCACTCCTCCCCCACTTCCTTGTGGATCCTCTCAGCTTGACCCACAAAGCAGACCCTGCCCAACAGCAGCACAGCCAGACACACACGACAGCCCTGCTCACGCAGCCTGCACACAGCCCCGCACACAGCCCCGCTGATCACAGGTGCTGCACCAGGGGCCTGTCCGCCCTGGAGTGGGGGCACTCTGCCTTAGGCAGGCTGCAAGCTCTAGGGCTGGGGCTCCCGGGACCCGCATTCCAGATGGGGAGACCTCTCTGGCAACTTCTACCCAGGATGGGGTGGAGTCGGCTGGGGAGGGGTGGCGGTTAGCATCAGATCCCACTCTGGTCCCACTCAGACCCACAGGCAAGGATACAGCCAGACAACTGCTTCGCCACTGCCCTTAGGATAGAGCCCGGCTCTCTAACGAGCACACAGCACACACATGTGTTCTGGAGATGGGACTTCTGCCAGGAACAGCCCCGCCCCTGCTCCATTCTGAGAATCTAGCCCAGGTAGGATGCCTGGCTCGGCTCATGGGAAGCCGCTCCCTAGTGCTCAGAGGCAGGTGTCTGGCGCAGGGCGTGTCGTGTCCTAGACTCTAGGACGTCCAGGACCTAGAGGGCCGGGGCCTACACCTGGCTCACCGGGGGTGGCACCCTGGGGCGCTGAGCTGTCACATGCGGAGGGGAATGTGAAGGGGGAGCCGGTGGGTGAGAGCCCTTGTTGCGGTGCTTCTTCCTATGTATCTGTCTGTCTACGTAGTAAAAGGGCCACATCGGCTTCCCGGGTGTTCCCTGCTGAAACTTGGATTAGGGCTGGACCAAAGTCATCCTCCCCTCCCCCCATCTCCACCCCCCGCCTGGCCGCCCAGCCCACCAGTAAAGAGACTCGGTCTGGGACAGATATGGTTTATTGATTTGGGCCAGAGGCAACGCTGTGCAGCGGGCCAAGGTACAGGAGGCAGGACAGACAGACACACAGACCTACACAGGGCGGCCCCGAGGCCCCTTCTGTGCCAGGAGCGCATGGTTTCCCAGGCCGCAGTGCTCCACGCTCCGATGGGCGAGAGGGAGAGGGACACACTGAAGGCAATGGCGAGCGGACGCGGCGGAGGAGTCAGGACAGGACCTGCGCGGGGGGGTCTGGCGCGAGGGGAGGCCTTGATGCTGAGCCGGCGGGTACGCTCTCAGCGGCCACGGGGACCCTGGCGGCGGCGGTGGGGAGAGGGGGCCGCTAGCTGCGGGCGCCATAGCCGGCATAGTCTGTGTAGTCGCCCTCGCACTCGGCAAACGGGCCGGGCGGGCTGCGGAGCGCGCCGTCGGGGCCGGACGCCGGGCACTCCCGCAGGCGCACCGCGTCGTACAGGCCCTGCGGCGGCTCGTCCAGCAGCACCTCGCGCTCGGAGCGGGAGCGCGTCAGGAGGCTCACGCGGCGCAGCAGCAGCAGCACGGGCGCGTAGAGCAGGTTGGCCAGGCCCATGCCCAGGCTCAGCTGCCCGAAGCCCAGCGAGTGCACGATGTGGCCCGCCACGATGGGCCCGAGCGCGTAGGCCACGGAGTAGGAGATGTCGGCGATGGCGTAGACGCTGCCGTAGACGGACACGTGGCGCACGTCCACAAGGAAGGCGAGCGTGGGCAGCAGCGCCGTATCCACCAGCGCGATGCCGAAGCAGAGGCCACAGAGCGCGACCACGAGCGGCGCGAAGGAGCGGCAGGCGGGCACGGCGCACGAGCTGGCGCCGATCACCGCCAGCCCCAGCGCGCCGTACAGCCACTGCAGCTGCGGGTGGCGTGCCGCCAGGCGCACCGTCAGGTACACGCCCAGCACGTGCGGCACGAAGGCCGGCAGCCAGACCATGCCCATCTCCCACTCGGACGCCTCCATCGTGCGCTTCATCCACGTGGCGATGGTGGGCTCCAGGAAGGCGAGCGGGATGTTGCAGGTGGTGAGCGCGCCGGCCACCACGGCGATGTACGGGTCCAGCATGAGGCGGTGGATGGCCGTGCCCACCGGCGGGTTGGCCCGCGCGCGCGCCGCGGCCGAGAAGGGCCTGGCCACCGCCAGCAGCGCCGCCGCGTCCGCCAGCGACACGGCCGCCAGCACCAGGAAGGGCACGCGCTTGCCTGCGAACTCGTAGAGGATGCCCCCGAAGGGCGGCGCCACCAGGCTGCCCAGGCTGATGAAGGCCAGCGCCACGCCCAGCGCTCGGCTGCGCTCCGGCTCCTCGGGGTACTTGTCAGCGATCATGGCGATGCCCGACGTGTCGGCGAAGGCGGAGCCCAGGCCCTGCAGGCTGCGCGCCGCGAACAGCGTGGCGTAGTCCTCGGCGAAGGCGAACAGGACCGTGGAGGCGAACATGACGCCCAGGCCCATGAGCAGCGGCACGTCGTAGCTCATGCGGTCGATGAAGGGCCCGCTGAGCGGGTTCACCAGGAGCTGCAGGATGGCCTTGGAGGCGAACAGCACCCCGATCTTCACGTCCTCGCTCTCCGTCGGATAGCGGGGCCGCAGGGCGGGCCCGGCGGGCTGCGCGGCCGTCGGGGGCTCCGAGCCGTTGGCCGCGGAGCTGGCGTTGGCCAGGACGGGCGGCGGCAGGGTGGGCGCGCACGCCGCCACCTCCGCCTCCACCTCCGGGGTCGGGGTGGGGCCCTCGCTGCCGCCGCGCATGTGGGCGATGTAGTCGGGCACGATGGGCACGATGACCATGTACAGCATGTTGTCCAGGAACAGCGCCACGCACACGATGACCAGCAAGAGGCGGCGCTGCTTGCGGGGCTCCCGCAGCGCCGCGCCCACCGCCTCCGACAGCTTGGCGGCCGCCTCCCGGGCGGGGTCCGCGGGCTCCATCGCCCGCCGGCCGCTCAGAGAGGACGCGGTGCCCGCGGGCAGAGGAGAGCGCTCCGGACTTCGGGGTGCGGTCCGCGCGCGCGGCGCACCCGGAGCCTTAGGCGGCCGCCGGGCTCATGGCCCCGCGCCCCGGGAAAGGCGAGGACCCTGTTGGGCGGGGCGCCGCCGCCGTTCCGAGCGGAGCCCCAGGCCCGCCGCCGCTGTGCAGGGGCGATGGGGCCGGCGGCGCGCGGAGGGGCCGGGGCCGGGGCCGGAGCGGAGCGCGCTGCCCGCCGGCGCCCCCGGAGCCGCCCCGCCGCGGAGAGAACGACGCGCCCCAGGGGCGCGCTGCTGCCCCCACGCCCGCTGCTCGTCCGGCCGCCGCTCTCCCCGCCCCGAGCGCCGGCTCCTGCCTCCTCCTCCGCCGCCGCCTTCTCCTCCTTTTTCCCTCTCCACTCCGGGTTGTGACGCGGTGAGTCCCGGCCCCCGAGTGGCGCCCCGGCCACTGGCGTCGCTCATGCTAATGCGACGTCGGCGGGGCGGGGGCGGGGCGGGGCGCGGCCGCGGGGGTCTCCCTCGGAGAGGGGTCTAGGTGCGCAGAGTCCCGGCCCGGCCTCTGAGGGTGTCGGTGCTCCGTGCGAGGACCGGCTCTCCGCCCGCCCCCATCTCCGTTAGGACCGAGCCCCCTGCCCTCCGGGGGGCGCGCAGCAGCGGCTGGTCCCGGCCGCGGAGAGGGCGCGCCGGGGGCTCAGCGCTCCGCCTCCGCCCGGACCTCCGCGCCGCCGGCAGGAGCCCCCCCTCCCCTGCCCCCCCGAGGTGAGCCGCGGGGTGTCCAGCTGTTCCAGCAGCTGGATCGTGGGGCGGGGACCGGAGGGGCGCGGGGTACTGAGACCCCCAAGCCTTCGTTTGGCCACGCCCCGTGGCCCCTGGAAAGGGGGGGTGTGGAGAGACGAGGAGCTGAGACTGCGGGGCGGGTTCTGAGGACCACCCATTGGGAGGATGTCCCAGCAGAGATTTGGGACTGCGAGCATCTGGGGGATGGGAGGAACGTGGCATTGCGCCCACTGGCTCGGGGTGTCAGCCCTGCCGCTCCCACACTTCGCACTCCCTCATCACCCACTCCCAGCCAGCATTCCCCTTTTCCCCAGGGACCGTCCTGGTCCCCAGCCCCATCTCTTCCCTTCCCCCCTCCTCCCCTCCTCCTCTCCTCCCCTCCTCCTCACCCCTTCCCCTCCTCCTCACCCCTTCCCTCCTCCTCACCCCTTCCCCTCCTCCTCCCCCCTTCCCCTCTGGGCAGTGTGCTCCAGAAAGGGATCCCTTTCTCGGCTCAGGCGAGTCCCGCCCCTTCCCTACCTCCAGTTCCACCCCCATCCCCAGTCTCCAGAGCTGCCTCCAAGTCCCGGGTGGGCTCCAGGGTGGTTGGCCTGGATCCTTTCTGTAAGAAAGACCTTTGAGGCTCCACGCCCCACACCCCTCCCCCTTCTCCTCCCCTAGCCCCCTTCTGCCTCCTCCCCCCATACCCCTCCCCCTTCTACTCCCCTTCCCCCTTCTCCCTCCTCCCCCACACCCCTCCCCCTGTCCCCCGGGGCTGGACTCAGCCGCTTTGCTCCCTCACCTTCAGAAAGGGCCGCACCCACGGAGACCAGGGCGTCCTCATGAGAGCGTTGACCCTGGGTGGCCCCTGAGCCCGCGCTCCGGGCTGCAGGCCGGCGAGGGGCTCTGAGCAGCGGAGGTTGGGAGGCTTGCAGGTGGAGATCCCAGTTTGCTCTCCCTCCAGAGTCCGAGAGCACTCTTCCCTCCTTCTCACCTCGGGGAAACAAGGTCTAGCTTCTTCCCCTGCGCCCCCTCCCCGGGGAGCGCCTGATGCCTGGGAGACAGGCTGAGGCGGCTTTCAGCTCTCTCCCGTTAGTCAGGGTGTCCGGAGCGGCTTCCCGCTCTGGTCTGTTTCTCCATCAGTAAGATGGGGCAAGAGTGCTGCTGATAGGGTGTCTGATAGCGGAAGACAGTGGCAGTGCTGGCTGTTGTAATAATCTGTGAAACGTGCTGTTTTATTTTCCTTTGACAGCTAGGTCTTGCAAAAGCAGAGAAAAGGTAAACCTACCGGGCAGCCTAGCTTCCTGGCTAGTCCCTCTGGTGGGGGAGCCGTGTGGTTCCGGGCTCTGTCCTGGCTGGTGGAGGACTGGGGGCATCGGAAAGCTGGCTCTGCGGCTGAGATGGCTGTGGAATGAGATGATGGAGACAAAGCATCAGGTGAGAATCTTTCCGCTCACCCTGCCCCAGGGAGGGAGTTGCCAGCTCCTGCTCACCTGCTCCCTGTCTAGGGAGGGAGACAAGTCACAGCTTCTCCCTGGCTCCAGCTTGGCCTCTGTTTAAGGAAGGGGGAGAGGAGAGCCCTCTCACTGAGTCCTTGAGCAGAAATGGGGCTGTAGAATGGTTCTGTGGGGGTGAGATAATTATTTTCCACTAGAGGCCCGATGCATTAAATCTATGAAATCTCAGCCCTGGCTTCATCCGGAAGGTTGTCCGGAAGGACGTCTGGAAGATCATTTGTCTATACGGTCTAATTAGCATATTACACTTTTATGTTTATAGATTTTATTTGAGGGCGCTCAGTCGGTACACACAGTCTCTGGCTCATGGCACTCCCTCTAACTGGCTTTGTACACATATGTCACCTGTCTGGCTGGCTGTCCAGTCATTTATTGATAGTTTGAAACGTCGGGCCTCTTCTGACCCTCCCAGTATGAGGTTCTGAAAGAGGCAGCCTGCAGACCAGTTATGATTTATGCATATAGTGTTTGCCCTGTCTGATTAGAGGGGGGGATTAAAGCAAACGTGTTCTGTCTAGTGGCTGAAGAACTGAGAATTCAGTGGAATCTTAGATAAGAGAAACTCTCCCAGGATCTTCAAGGTGCAGACTCTTCTCCCAGCCCTCCAGCCCACATAACTCAGGCTGCTCTTGAGCATGGAGCCATGCTATCTCTGGGCTCATGCCTAATCTCCAGTCCTCCGTGCCCCAGCGGCAGGAAGCAGACTCATTTATGAAACACTCTGTGCCGGGGTGTTCTGTGTGCTCTTTTATTTAATCCTCACGCAATCCTGGTGCCATTCCTCCTGCCTTACGGACGGGAAACTGGGCATAGAGAAGTGAGCTCACCGGCCCACGACCCCAGCTGCAGAGCCTGGATTTGAACCCAGGCTGTGTGACTCGCTTCATGGTCCTCACACGGCCTCCCTCTACCCTGGATCTCAGTGTAGATCCAGGGTAGAGGATCTACACTTCCGCTGCTCCATCTGCAAGGTGGCAGCTGGACGTGTAGGGGAGAGGGCCCAATGAAGATCCCCAGGGACACTAAGTTCCTTTACCCTCCAACTTCAGGCTCAGAAGGCAACTTCATACCCCCATCCCTCAGCAGCCCCAAGAGCTAGGGTGCAGGAGTTGCAGGGAGAAGAGGACCCTCTGTTTCACCCAAAGGACCGGGCCTGAGCCTCGGCAGGACATGGGAACAACCCCTCCTGCTCTGGCCTTTGGGGAGTTGTCCAGGGTGCTGACCTGACTCCACCACTTGCCAACCAGCCTCCCACAAGGCACTGCTGCTAGATCTTCCTGTGCCCTGGCTTCCTCCTCACAGAACCCCTGGTGAATTCCTTCCTGGAGACTCCTTTTTCTGAGCATAACTTTCAGGCCTAAGAGAACTTCCCTTCCAGTTCTGTTGGAGAAAAGGGAAGCATTTTTTCCTCTCCTTTCTCAGCCAGATTCAGGGACTGTTGCTACTCAGAGCCTATCTGGTATGCAAAGTAAATCAAATGAATACGGGAAGGAATTTATTTATTAGACACAGAAGTGTTTTCAATGTGCCAGGCCCAGTTCTAAATCTTTTGCAAACATTGACTCATTTAATCATCTTACTAGCCTTCATATTATCTTTTTGCAGGCAGGGACACTGCGGGGTGATCATTTATCCGCGACCGGATTGCTCACAAGCAGTGGGGACAGGATTCCAATGCAGGCTGCCTGCTCCAGCATTCACTGTCAGCCACCATGCTGCCCTGCTCCAGGATGCTGAAGAACAGGAGATGACTTACTGAGAGTAACTAGCTCAGAGGCAATTACAGAGGCAATTATGCTTTTGTAGGGGTAGATACGATGGTGGTTTCTGGGTGACTACATTTCAATTTATCCATTAAATATCGTTGTGGCTTCTGTCTGCTGGGGCGAAGTCCTTTCCACCTGGACCTGTGCCTGTGGAGTGTGCTAGTGGAGAACTCGGGGTTCCGGGTATATGGGATCTTGGGGAGGGGATGAAAGGACCACCTTTCTGCATCTGTGCTGTGTGAGGTCTGGTGTATGTGTGTATGTGGGGTGGGGGGAGGAGTTGTGTGTGTGAGGGGGGTGCTACTCTGGCATCTGGCATCTGATGAAGGCGTCAGCTGACCCTGAGAAGGTCATGGGCCAAGTCAATTGTCCAGGGCCTTGTCAATTGTTGCTTCACTGAGACATCTGGTCCCCGAGACACAAAATGACTGTTTCCGCAGAGAAGCAGGTTGATGATGATGGCAGCATGTGGGCGGGGCACCTGCTCCTGATTTATTATTTCTTTGTTTCCCTGGAAGCACTTAAGTGCAGGCTTAGTTCCAACAAAGCTCACGAGCCTCTCTGGATTCCAGTGCTGGGGGAGGGCGCTCAGCCTGCTGGCCTCCCCTGCTACCCACCCTGTGCCTTCCTCAGGAGCGCCTGGGGCCGCAGCATCACTTAATTAATTTAGGCTTCCCCAGCCACACATTCTCAGACTCCAAGGAACAGAGCCTCCCCGTCAGCCTTTCCCGGAAGCCTGTGAGTCTGGTGGCTGGGAGCCAGGACTGCGTGCCTGCCTGCCCGCCCTTGGCCAGCCCTTCCCCTGAGCCCCGGCCTGGCTCCTGAGTGGGGCTGAGCTCTGAAGGGAAAGAGAGGACAGCAGCCCCTGCACTGCGGATGGGCCGCAGAGCTCCTTTCTCTCTGTGGGTCTGAGAAGGGCAGTCCCTCCCTGCTTTCCTTCTGACTCCCGACGTTTCTGTGAAATATTGTGGAGCAGCGGGGTCTCAAAATCTTGGTTTCTCACTCCCTCTGCTCACTTCCCATCCCAATCCAATGAGACTCTCCGGGTCATCTACCTCCTCCATGGACACCATCCCTGCCCACAATCAGCCCCCAACCCCAATCGTCACCCACAGTGGGCCACCAGTCACCCTCCACTTGTCCCTGGATTCCAGACCCAGCCAACCGCGCGCCCCCCCCCCCCCCCCCCTTGTAAGATGCGGGCCATTTCCCACTGCTCCAGACCTCAGGACTCCTGGCTGCCTGGGACTGGAGTCCCAGAACCACGGCTTTTCAGTGTGCCCCAAATGAACGTCTCTGATCTTCTGTGGAGCTTCCTCTTTTTATGTG